TTCGACCTTGTTCGAACTACAACGGGATCCTACTTCGAAGATAGTTCGAAGCAATATCCCAATGGCCAAGGCCATCGACAAGAATAGGAGTTCGACTTCACTCGAACTACGATGGGATCCCACTTCGGCGATCGTTCAAAAGTAGCATCCCAAGGGTTAAAGGCACTGCAGAAAGAAAAAGGGATCGACCTTACCCAAAAGCAAAATCGGCTTAACAGTTCGACAGGTACCCTGGATGCCATAGATATTGCAAAGATCTTCACCGGATCGACAAAACAAATTCTACATCACATCAAAATGTTACTTACACCTATCTTTACAACGGGCTTAAACATGCCCCTTACAAAAGTCCCAAAGCAAAAGGTAAGTACAAACAAAAGGTTACACGTCATCCCCAGTTGGGTATGCATCTTCGTACCAAGAGTCAGAAGCAAGACGGTTCGCATAATCAGAGTTGATGCCATCCCCGTCAGGTGTAAGAGGGTCGTATCCGCATGCCTCACGAGCTGCTCGAGCTTCGACATGCACAACCTGAAGTTTTGCTTTAGTTGCTCTCCCCTCAGCATGAAGAGCCTTGTACACGTCAAGCCAGGCCTCAGCATGGACCCACAACTCATATAAGCGACGAGGTACGACCGGATCGGCCGAGGTACGAGACGTAGAAGGTTGTGAGTGTTGACTTGCATCCTCCGCTCTCAGCGAGGCCACTTGTCCATTCAACACAGATAGCTCCACCTCCAACTCCTTAACACGCCCCTCAAGCCCCGTGACCTTAAGATTAGAAGCCTCCTTCTCCTCGGTCAGCTCTGACCTACAAACACGGTGGGTACTCTCCAAGGCCGCTGTTCTAGAAATAGTTGTCGCCAGCTTATCAGCACCGACGCTCAGTTCGCCCTTAAGTCCCTCAATCTCCACCACCTTCGTACCCAATTCAGCGGTCAACCTGGCCACATTTGCCTGTAAGTCGGCATTCTCGGTCATAACCCCCCTACTTAACTCATGTTCATCCTCCTTAACCTTAAGGGAGGCCTCAAGTTCATAATTACGGGCGACATCCTTCATAAGCTCCTCATCTCGATCCCTCAACTCCTCGACCTTATGCGCTAGTTGGTCCTCCCTCTGTTTGAGTCCTTCATGGAACAATTGAAAATCAGGGTCCTGATTATAAATGTCGACCATTGCACGATGCTTAGCGCGATATTGTTGATATTTGGAAGACATCTTCCCGTAAATGGTTGTCCTCTTTCTTTCCCGGCGCTCGCGCTCGTTCTCTATGATAAGGGTCTAGCACAAAAAAGAAAGAAGTTATAGACAAAAACATAGGTCAACAATCACAACGTAAGCCAAATGACGAAAAAGAAAAGGAAGGCACCTACCCGCAAGGCCATGCCGGCGACGTTCTGAGACAACTCCATGTCGCTCATTGCCCTAAGCACCTCGCTCTCAGGGGCAGCACATAAAGGGGCTAAAACAAATGCCATTTGATCTCAATTCAACAATAAGTTATAGTCACCCGGGATAACTATGTGACGATCAGATCCTTCCACTCTAACCTCCACGTGAGTATAGCGACCTACGAACTCGTGAACATCCTCCGAGTCGACATCTGAACCTGAGCCCTCACCCTCAACACGCTGGCCTCCTCCAACGTTGGAGGACGTGCCACCCTCAGCGGAGTGCACGAAGCCATCCCCTGGGTAAATTCATTCCGTTTGGGAAGATCTCCCCGCTAAGATGGAGTCGACCATAAAGGTGGGTACAGGTGCCGTCTACGACGTCCTACTTTTGCCGGCGTCCATGGCCACATCCCTCTCAAGCTCCATTCTCCTCCTTTTTCTCGACAACGACTCGTCCCCGTTAGAGGATTCGTCCAAGAGGTACGGGGTCGGTACTGAAGAAGCCTCCTCCCTCACGACCATGTCCTGAGTGGGACATTCCATTTGAATCGGTTGAGGACAACCCCCTCAGACAGACTCATTCAAAGTAAACTGCATTCTTGCAGCAGCGACAGCCTGTCGGAATGCAGGGACTGGCACAAGGCCTGGAAGCTCCTCGACCTGTCGTCATGAAGAGTCGTGTCAATAGACAACGATGTATAACCAACAAAGTGATAAGGGGGAAACATTTACAGGATGGAACTCTTGGGACATAATGTCTTATGAAGGTGGGCCAATCTCGTGTTTCCACTGCATGGGGCAACAGACGGGCTACCCAATCCCATATGCACGCAAATAGGCGGGGCGGATGTCCCATAGCTGCAAAAAAGAAGCAAACAAACCCTGTAATGAATGAAGATGAAGAGAGAGTAAAATAAGTAGCGACACTTATGAGTCTCGTTCCACCTCTCCGGAAACCTGGCGGAGTCAGAAACAATGTGTTCAGTTTTGACAAAGAAGTACTCATGCCAAAACTTGCGACTTACTCATTCGTCAGTCCCAACCACTTGCCCTTTTGTTCCAAGGTGCCTCAAATACACCATAGTACCCCTATGGAAGCTGGGCGAGAACAGGTGCAAGAGGTGGTGTATAGTAACCTCGCATTCCGCCAACTCCGCATACTTTGTCAGCAACAGTAGTATCTTGAGCGCATATGGCGAAAGTTGTGCTGGGCAAACTTGGTAGAACCTTTAGAACTCTTCTACTGATGGAAGGAGAGGGAAAGAATAACCAATCACGAAAGGGTGCTCGTAGAAAGCGCAGTACCCAGGTCTATGGACCTTTACGAAATCCCTTCCCACTGGAACTATGTCATTTGAGTGGGGATGTCATACTTTGCACGAAGAGTGTCAATGTGAACTTGTTCCGTTTCAGAGAGTACGGGGGTAGGAGTAGAAGAAAGTTCTTTGAGTAAGTCGCTTCGAGACATGGGGTGTCTCGGCAGTAACTCCTCCACCATAGGAAGACTATCCCCTTCTTCCACCACCATATCCTTGCCGCCTGAGGGGGGCCCCATGGACAACGGGGCGGCCTCAGAAACCCCTTCACGAGATCGATGTGATCTTGGCATGTTTTCGATAAAAGAGGTGTTGACACAACAATAAAGTTGTGAGCGAAGAATGAGAGAAGAAGAAGCAAAAGGTTGATAGGACAAACTCGAAGGGATAAGGAGGGGTAATCAGAAATGAAATGGCCAAGAATTTTTGAAAAAACAAACCTTCCACCTATTTATAGGATTGGGTGGCGCTAGAATCGAAGCGGAAGGTCGCAGAGTGGCACCAAAATCGAAGCGACAAGTCATCAATCCCTGTCTCGAAAACACGCATAATGATGACACATATGAAGATGATGTCATTTCTCGATAAAATGCGTTACCTGGTGTCTTGCTAAGCACGCTGACCGCCCACTATTGGCCAGGCCGTAATGCCTGGTAGGGTCAAATATTTCTGTAAGAACGCGTGGTGTCCTCTTATTGAGGACACACCAAGTTGCAACCTCGACAAGCGGAGGGACTAACTGTATGGGTCCAAATTGGAACAATCACGACTGTTGATGAGTACGGCGAACGACGATATCCCCGAAGCTCGACATCCTGCATAGGACGACCTCAAGACGAACAAGAGATTGTACAACTCTTACAGTAGTGTAGACTCATTAGGGGACATTAGGAATATTCTTTCGAATATTCCCTATAACTTGTCTTTTAGGGCTTAGAATGGTTTTGTTCCTTATATATAGAACGTAAACACAACCTTGTAAGCTCTCGGGCACTTTTCCTAACCCATAACACTTGTTGTAAACTTGCTTACATAAACTATCGATAAGGTTATTCTTTAAGGTTTTGTCTTAACGAGATAAAGAATTCTTATCATCCGTATTCTTCTTGTCTGTCTTTTGTTCTAGAGATTATTATATTCAGTTAAGATTTACCCCTTCATTTTCTTTGATTGATTTATTCAAAAAAAATTCGATATCTTTTTAGTCAAACACTTCCCAGGAGATTGGATACTGATTTTAGTAGTTTATTCTCTATCACATATTGTTTTACAGACTTTTTGGGTTAGTTCGTCACAGAAATATGACCTATCTTAAATACAGTGTATAAATTTAAAAGTTGGATTAATAGAGTATACCAATTACTCTAGTATATATATAATACATGTTCAATATGATGTGACGTCCTTGTGTTATTTTGCTCTTCCAAATGGATAGGTGGAGACAATGACAACCACGAAATTACCAAAAACTCATATCTGATTCTATGCTCTAGTTTGGTCATAGATTTTGGTTTTATTTTTTTAATTTTTTTAAAAAAATATTATTTGTTTATGAAATATGAGTATGTTTTGGGGAAAAAATTTCAAAAAATTTCAAGTTCGGTGAAATTTTTTCTTCCACTTACAAAACTTTATCTTTTCTTCAAACAAAATTCATGTCCAAACACAACTTCAACTTTCAAAAATTATTTTTCAACACTACTTCAAAAACTCTTTTTTTAAGTTTCAATTAAATTTATGTCTAAAAGCTAGCAATATGTACAAGAATTTGAATTTCGAACTCAAATCTTAAATACGATGAAGTCAAATAAGTATAAAACAAACAAATGTAGAAGACAAGCAAGTTCGGGTGATGTGGAGCACGTGAGGTGGCTTGTAGTTTTGATATAGTATATAATAGGACTGACCGTACCGGTAGGAAGGGATAGTTTATGTGGTTTTGTGGGGAACGCTAATGGTGTGTACTGAACCAACTGGTGGGGGCTTTCACGTTTGTACATCTCTACTGTTTTTGTAAGTATTTCTTCAAAGTTCAAAACGGTAATGTTATTGGAATATTGTGATACCCTACCACAAAAATTTGGTGGCTTTTAGTCTGAGNTCCGGTAGCATACATTGAATCGATAAAGGATATGTATGATGGAGCTAAGACTCGGGTCAGGACTACGGGAGATAACTCTGAGCTTTTTCCGGTGATTAGGGGGTTACACCAAGGATATGCGCTTGGCCCATTTTTATTTTCTCTGACGATGAATGCCTTGACACGCCATATTCAAGGGGAGGTGTCATGGTGTATGTTCTTCGCGATGATATAGTTCTGATCGATGAGTCGCATAGCGGCGTTAATGAGAGAATGGAGGTGTGGAGGCAAGCTTTGGAGTCCAAAGGTTTTGAGTTGAGTATGACCAAGACGGAATATCTGGAGTGTAAGTTCAGCGGCGTGTCGGGGGAAGCAGACGGGGTGGTAAGGCTCGACTCACAAGTCATTCCCAAGAGACAAAGTTTCAAATACCTAGGGTCTATTATCTAGGGAGATGGGGAGATTGACGGGGATGTCATGCACCGCATTAGGGTGGGGTGGATGAAATGGTGGTTAGCATCTGGAGTCCTGTGTGACAAGAGGGTACAAGTGAAACTCAAAGGTAAGTTCTACAGAGCAGTGGTTAGGCCGACTATGTTATATGAGGCTGAGTGTTGGTTAGTTAAGAATTTACATATCCAGGAGATGAAAATAACCGAGATGAGGCTGTTGAGATGGATGTGCAGGCATACTAAACTGGATAAGATAAGGAATGAAGATATTCGGGAGAAGGTGGGCGTTGCTCCCGTGGATGACAAGATGCGGGAAGCGAGGCTTAGGTAGTTTGGACACGTGCGGAGGAGAACCATAGATTTCCCGGTTAGGAGGTGCGAGCGGTTGGTTTTGGCAGGTACGAGAAGAGGTAGAGGGCGGCCTAAGAAGAATTGGGGCGAGGTGATCAGGCAAGACATGACGCGACTTCAGATTTCCGAGGACATGGCTCTTGATAGGAACGTGTGGAGATTGCGCATTAGGGTTGTAGGCTAGGGGGTAATTCATAGTATTTCCCTCTTTGTACCGGGTAGTCTCATAGAATTTTGCCTATGTTTGGTAGCGGTCTATGTTATGTTCATACTATTTTGTTGTTTTGCATAAGGTTGTATTACTGCACTCCCTTTCACTTATTTGGTGTATTTTAAGATATTATTTTTACCTCTCTTGCTTCTTTTGTTGTTACAGATCTCTTCTTGCGTTTCTTTTCTGATATTATTATCTCTTCTGTTGAGCCGAGGGTCTTCCGGGAACAACCTCTCTACCCTTTCGGGGTAGGGGTAAGGTCTGCATACATCCTACCCTCCCCAAACCCCACTAGTAGGATTTTACCGGGTATGTTGTTGTTGTTGCACAATATACTTTTTTGACAAATGATATTCAATTGAATTTTCTGCAACACGTACTATTTATTTTTAGCATTTTAATACTGATTTTCATAATTTTGTAGAACGGTAATTTCGAGCAATCAATATTTTATTAAAGCCACTATATTCGGATTAGTTCAATAGATGAACATACTGTTGTACTAGGTAAAATAGTGTGATTTTTCTGTTATGAAAATAATTTATTAAATTGATAAAATAAATGAAAATGGATTGACGATCCACAATAATACGTTTGTTTAAAAAGAACCACTATGTCAATTTCCAGCTTGACAGTTGACCCTGGCGTACCATTATCCTGAAAAGACCATGTCGCTTTCCTTCAGTTGTAATGAGGTTAGGCACCGAGTATCCACTGCCGTTGTTTTGCCTTCTGATATCAAAATTTTCAAAAAAAGGCTAAGCACAACATTTTGCTTCGAAAGCTAAGTCTGGAATCATATTTAGCTTGCAATATCGAGAATTATATACTAGACAACCGTTTACCCTAAAAATTGGATAACAATTAAACTTATAATGTGGTTTTAAGGACACGTGATTTCATCTAATACCAATTGATAAATATGAAGATTAGTAATAGAAATTAACAACAAAGTAAAGCAAATCAGTGTCGAAACGAAATTCAGCCCTCGAATTAGAATGCCCTCGAACTGATTAATACCAGAACAAATAAAAATAAGGCAAGCTGATGAACAAGAGGGTATAAACTAAAAAAAAGTGTTATATTGCTTTAATATGCGAGAATTCAAAAGTGCTTACAAATGATTGGAACTCCTCTTTATGTGGTCCATCCCCTTAATAATAAAGAGAAAAAAAGTGAATAAAGTTAGATTTGGAACAAAAGCAAATCAAGTAAGTTGGGAGGTGGATAACAACTTGCCAATTTGCAAGTTTTCAAGTCTGCAACTTGCATAACCAAAACCAATTTTGGTTGTCGTGGGAAATATTTTCTCACCTATAAAAGGAGAGCTTCAACTCTCATTTTAAGATATACAGAAAAAGAAGCAATACAGTAGTTGCAGAGAGTATTTCTCAGGCATTGTGAGAAATAGACTGTGTAAGGAAAAAAAGAGTGCGAGCGATATTGTAGTGAGGTGAAAATCTTAAAAGAGGGTTTATTTGAGTGTATAGTGGTCCCTGGAGTATTTTACTCTGACTACTGAGTATAAAATTCCTCATTATAGTGGATTACTTTGCTCCTCTCGGGCTCGTGATTTTTTTCCCTTATTCAGAAGGGTTTTCCACGTTAAAATCTTTGTGTCTTNCTCATCCAACAAGGATTACACAAGGTACTAGATGCTGATGCCAAAAAGTCTGATACCATGAAAGTTGAGGATTGGGCTGCCTTGGATGAAAGAGCTGCTAGTGCAATCAGGTTGCACTTATCAGATAATGTGGTAAATAACATCATTGATGAAGACACCGCATGTGGCATTTGGTCAAGGTTGGAAAACCTATACATGTCCCAAACACTGACAAATAAATTGTACCTGAAGAAGCAGTTATACGTCCTACACATGGGTGAAAGTACGAATTTTTTGTCACATTTAAATATGTTTAACAGACTAATCACACAGCTCGCCTACCTCGGAGTGAAAATCGAGGAAGAAGATAAAGCCATCTTGTTATTGAACTCGTTGCCATCTTCGTATGATAATTTGGCAACAACCATCCTGCACGGTAAGACCACCATTGAGTTAAAAGATGTCACATCGGCTCTTCTACTCAATGAGAAGATGAGAAAGAAGCCTGAAAATCAAGGACAAGCTCTTATCACAGAAGGTAGAGGCAGGAGTTATCAAAGGAGTTCGAGCAACTATGGTAGATCCGGAGCTCGTGGGAAGTCTAAGAACCAATCCAAATCAAGGGCCAAAAATTGCTACAATTGTGATCAACCAGGTCACTGTCACACCTCCTTTTTCCGACCCCGCGAAGGGCGTAGGAGTTTTTTTCAATTAAAGGACAATCGAAACGGGATTTATTTATTTATTTCAGAGTCGCCACTTGGGAGATTTAGGGTGTCCCAAGTCACCAATTTTAATCCCGAATCGAGGAAAAGAATGACTCCATATTACAGTCTGCGTACCAGAAATCCGGATAAGGAATTCTGTTAACCCGGGAGAAGGTGTTAGGCATTCCCGAGTTCCGTGGTTCTAGCACGGTCGCTCAA